AGCCCCAGGATAAAGGCACCATCTTAAGTGTCTCCTCTCCAAATGTCCCCTAACCTCATTGGTTATTGTCTCCCGAGCATGAGTCAGCGGGTCCTTGGTTAGCTTCACACATCTCGGAGACAGCTTATGCACAGCTGTAAAATGTATTTTGTGTATAATTTCAGGGGCTCCTCAAAGGTGTAAGCTCTAGAGAATAGCCAGTGAGCTCAGTGCAGCTGGCCTTGGGGAGAACAGTCTGGGCAGGGATGGGGGGCGGGGGGGGGGCGAGTTGCTTTTCCTGTGTGGTGGCTCCTGAGTTGTTTGGACATGACACTGGCCTTCCAAACCTTCTCTCTGCCAGGTTGGAAGGACTGGGAGATAGCTAAAGCTATTGCCAGGGTGAAGAACGCCTCTTCCAGGCACAAAGAGATCAAAAAAAAAAAAAAAAATCATCCAAGATGCTGATGCTGAGATAAATGACAACCTACAAACCGGAAAGAAGGTCTCCCCAAGTGTCAGTTTGGTGTCCGTGGTGTCCTTGACACTTGGAGACTTTGGAGAGGATAGGAAAATGTTGGTGTGAAAGAGTACAAGTCCAGGGCTGGCTCTGGGGCCCTAGGGAGGACAAGCCACTGTTCTGGGGACCAGACAACTCGGCAATCCGGCAATCCGAAACCAGAGCCCAGGTCATTAGCAGGAAACCGAAGTGCTGGAGGATCGAATTTCTAAAAGTGCCAATGCTAGGCTGCCTGGGATCCTAGCACTGGTGAGGCTGGTGGCAGGGGCCTGTGGTAAAACAGATGGCACCTCAATCGGTACCCTGTTCCAAGGATTCTTTCCAGTCCCCCAGTTTTGTCTCCTTTTCCTGAGGCTTCTACCAAAGCTGGGAGACCCATAATAAAAAGTCTTCAGTTTGGGTCCTCAGCACCTTATGTTGGGGGTAGGCGGGGGGGGGGGGCTCAGACTGTGTTCCCCAGGCAAGCAATCTGTTTACAGGGTTAGCCAAACTGCGGCAGGACCAGGGTTTGGGAATGTGTGTGACCTATGGTTGCCCAGAGGCTGGTCCTCTCTGACCGTGATCTCTGGCTTCTCAGTAGAGCCCTGGTTTCCACTCCCTTTCCATCACTTGCAATTAAAGTCACATCGGTGCAAATAGAGGACCTGGAAAAAAAAAAAAAACCTGCATTTGCCAGAGGCTTCTAGAAACGGAACAGGAACAGAATGAACTCACAAAGTGTAAACACTGTCTTCCCAGAATCCCCACCTGCAGCGTGTGTCCAGCTCTAGGCCTTTGCTCCAGAGTAAAGAGAACAATTGTAGACTCTGGGGATTCCAAGGGGATCTGAGGCGGGGTGCCTGGGATGCCCAGCTTCTTCCCTGACCTGGCAGAAAAAGGAAGCCAGGAGGTTAACCCTGAGCCTGCTCGGTTAACCACTCTAGTGTTTGGTTTAGAACGAATTAATTCCTTCCACCTGGCGTTATAGGACTTCCCCCCCCCCCCAACGTCTTCACCTGGAGAGAAATAGGCTTTCCAAATCAAAGCCTTTGACACTGCACCAGGAATTCACACCAAAATTACAATGCTGCCCTCTGAAGAATGAAAGCGGCCAGTCCCAAGCATACCCACAATTTCTCTATATCCGGGACTGCAAGTAGGGACACCAGAGTTAGGAATAAAGATTGTGTTCCGGTTCCATCCACCTACCCGAGCTCAGGTTAACGACTTAATCCGTCTGCGCCTCGTATCGGGCTTTGTACCAGGAGGCCTGAAAATCGAACGCCCTTTACAGGGTTAATCGTGCGAGTGACTGAGGTCACTTCGTGGGTGCATTCCCCTAAAGTGCGCCGGGCCAGAGCGCGCGCACGTCCCCTTTGCAACGCCGTCCATTTCTATCGTGCTTATTCCGCGGGCTTTGAACGCCCACATCTGCAACATATATTTCTTGATTATACGCATCTTGATTATAAAACAACCGAGTGCGTTTTACATCCGGAACTGTCTTGCGAATGAAACTCCTAAATCCAAATTGGAAGGGACATCCCGCAGATGGAGCACACACAAGAACACGCAAACACACACATGGCTTTCTAACACCTGCGGCCTCTGGTCTCCGAGTACCAGCACCCCACCGCTCCTTGTAGGTACCGACTTCCATGGCCTCATCTAGACGATATTAGGCCACTCCTGGGGGCTGGGGGGGGGGACAGAAATACTCCCCCATAGCTATTTTCTTGGCTAGCTGCCAAGAGGCCAAATTTAGAAACCGGCGAGGCAGAAAGTGTGCTGACGGCAAGGTTACAAGCGTCCTCAAGGAGCCTGTCTGTTGGTTTAGGGGAAAGGTCAGATCTCTGGTTTTCCTCGAATGGAATTTTTTGAAAGGCCGTCTACCTACGTCGAAACTTTCACCCACGTATAGGTGGGCTCTTAGGACAGAGACAGACTCTGTGTGAGCCTACACACCGTACACCCCTCGCTAGTTACTTCACGACAACCTAGACCCGCGGGCAGAGGGACTGACTGCAGGGTCGCGACCCCTGCCTGTGCCCAAGCACGCCCTTCGGCCCCTGCAATTAGCGTCAGGAGGTCAGGAAGAACCCGGACGCCTCTACCCGCAGCTCTAAAGCCCAGCAAAGGTGACCTCAGCCCCTCCCGTCCAGTCTCAGACGCCAGCGCAGCCTGGAGCGGATCTTCCTCACGGGGCGGGCCGGTGGGCGGGCGCCGGAGGGTTCTGGCCACTACCCCGCATTCACTCCAGCCCTGCGGGTCCCAGCACTGCGGGGATGGGGGTCGCAAGCGGGCCTGGTGGTTCCAAGAACTCTGGCCTTCCTTTGTCCCTGTAGACGCGACCAGGAGAAAAAGAAGAAAAAAAAAACCAAACTTGGAGTTTATATAGTACAACAACAACAAATCGCGACAAAGCGAAGTTGGCCTGAGTCGGGTCTAGGTGGGCAGACTTTCCGGGGGGGTGTGTGCATCTCTTTTTATCTGCTACTCCTTCATCCAGGTTACCCCCTCTGTATCTCCACATTTTCACACAGAGAGAATAAGGAACTACACTCCCCTCCTTGACTTTCCAAAAATCCCTTGGAAGTCTCATCTGAGGCCCACTTAGGGATAGATGAAAGGCTTGGCCCTTCTTCTGATAGGAGTGAGATGGGGGTGGGGCGGGGTGGCTTTGGGGAGGATATGTCAGACTGGGGGGTGGTGCGACGAGAAAGGGGTGCAGAGGTGAAGACCCCACGTTCCAGAATCCCGACGGTGTCCAGCCAGCCGCAGTTAGGCAGGGCGCATTCGTGGGTCAGACAGACAGGTGGCACTCGAAGCCAGGGAGAAAAAAAGGAAGGGAAAAAAAAAAAAAAAAAAAAGACCCAGGCGCCGGCCCCGAGTGGCCTCGGCAGCCGCCGCCACCACCACCATAAAGCCCGCGGCGAGATTGCGACCGGCGCCAGGTGAGTAATAGGCACAGAAATCCAGAGAGATTGCGAGCGGGTCACCCCCGGTCCATCAGCGCTACAGGGTTACACATTAACAGCACTATATATAAATAAGATACAGCGGAGATTAAAAGGGAAGAGGAAAGAAAAGAAGGGAATCCTAGGAGGGGCCGGGGACAGGTTTGGGCACTGTACCCAAATTTGGGTGATGGAGGAGGAAACAGGGGAGAAAATCCGACTGAGAAAGCCAAGCAAGTTCGGTTTGATTTGGTTTGGTTTCTGCTTTCTCCGCAGTTGAAACCGAGCTATTTTCTCCCCAATTTGGGAGCTCGCGCAGCCGGAGGCCGTGAGCCAACTACCACCTTCCCAGGGCGGACTGTGAAGAGTTTTGGTGCCGGAGAGGAACCGGCCTCTCCTGTCCCCAAGTCCCCTTAAGCTCTCTCCAGTCCCCTCTGTCAGGCTATTTTCTTCTCCTCCCTAGATGGCTGGGGAGATGCAGTGGAGGTCCCCACGTGCCTGGGCTAGAAAAGGGGGCCTCGCCCACCCCTCCAAGGTCTAGAGCTGGATCCTCTTCCAAACCCAGGAGGGGAGGGGCCCCCTCATGACTCGCCATTCAAGAGGCCTGAAGGTGACAGGGACGTAGGGCCCGGCTGGCGGGCTCCTGGATGGGGGTTGGGGGCAAGTCAGCCGCCAGGCAGGCTCCGGCTGGGTCTTTTGAGTCAAGGCCCCCAGGGCAAGAAAGTCCTAAGGGCTAACTTGAGAGAACATTCCCTCACCAGCCCCCTCCAACATACACACACAGCCCTCCCCAGAGGATCTTGGAGGGTGGGGGAGACGGAAAGACTGAGAGAGAGGCTGCGCTGGTTTACATACATATATTATTGAAAGATCCAAAGAACTTCAAAAAGATAACTTGCCTAACTGACTCGGGACTGGTTAGGGGACGAGATAGCAGCTTCCCGGGTGCCTTTTGCCTTGGAGGTTCATGAGGACTCCCAAAGTACCTTGCCACTCACGGCCAAACTAAGCGTGTTCAGTGAGGAGCCCCTCCTTGGCCTTACCCCAGCCCTGAATGTCCATGGGTAGGGGAGTCTGCTTAGACTTTTCCTGTGCTAGATTTCGTGGGTATAGGGGACTTTATTTATTTTGTTTTGTGATCCATGTCAGAAAAAAAAAAAGGAAAAACGAATTAAAAGCGAAAACCCTTCCTAGCTCTTATTTCCGGTCGGATTCCTGGGGGGGGGGGGGGAAGCCGACTTTGAACACAGAGTAAAATCTTCTCCCATTAAAACTGAAGTAGATGAAGTTCCTCTTTACGAAACCTAATCAGGCCCTTTTCCTCTCCCGTTCTGCTCCCTAAATTAAAGGGAAAATATTTTCAAATCAACGTGGGCCCCCTTCGCCGGAGCAAGGGGCTTGTTTTCAGCCTTTTAACTTGAGTGACATCTCATTTTCGGTTGCTGGGAGGGGTGGGGGTGGTCTTAATTATTATTTAAAGAGAGGGAACGGGCAGAAAGATCATCCTCTTCTCTCTATCCAGCTCTGAAAGACAACGCTTGAAGAAATCATTAACACAACTTCAAAACTCATTTCAATAAAAATTTATTGAAATTTCAGTGATGTTTTTTTAAAGAGGGGGAGAATTACAGAAAACTCATCAAGGACTAAACACAAAATACGCCTTCTTGTTTTTGTTTTTTTTTGTTTTTTGTTTATTTTTTTATTTTTATTTAGTTTTTTGTTTTGTTTTGCCTTTCATGGTCGTTTGAACCCTCTCCGTACACCAATCCAAAACACCATCAAGATGAACACTGAAAACCTCACTTGCGTTAGAAGATGCCAGAGCCTATGAAAAAATTAGGAAAGTTATACACTGGCCTCTGAACGGCCACCCCCACAACAATCTCAACCTGTCCGGGGGTGTCAAGAGTTTAGGGAATTTCAAGTGGAGGCTGGAAGGGCCAATACCTCCCCAATTTTGGTGAAAATAGGAAAGAGTACTCCCGACCCCACCCCTTCCATCAGCTTTTGGACATTTTTTAAAAAAACAAAACAGCCAAAACTTTGCAGCCAGCTCTACTTGAAAGCGTGTAGATGTGATTATAGACGCCTATGCTTGTTGGTGTGGATTAGCCATCTCCTGACCCGGAAATAAAACCCAAAAGGCAAAACAAGAATAAAACCTGACAGACACGCTTCTATTTACATTCAGGTATGTACAATTCAATAAATTAAAAGTTTAACTTTCTGAGCAGTCATCTTCCACCTATTTACAAGAGATATCAAATAATTACATAAATACTTTGTCCAATAGTCGCGTTTCCTCTTTATTATTTCTTTTTAAAACCTTGTTATTGCATATACAGTTAAAAGAACTAATGGTCCAACAGGCACACGAAGCCCTCTACAGCGCTTAGATAAAATAAACTCGGTTGGTTTCACGCCCGCAGCACCCCCTTTTACCCCACTTCCTCCTGGTTGCCAGACTTGAGCAAGGTTGAGGAGAATGGGACTTCCGTTGTTTTTCCATAAAAGGCGTGGGGGGGGGGGCAAAAGCCAAAATAAAACCCAGAAAACTGTAACATGCAAAAAAAAAAAAAAAAAGCCAGCATCGGCTCTTAAAACATCACAATATTTTTTTTAAAAAGACACAGGATTCCTTTAATATAGACGGGGCAAGGACAAGCAAGGCCCCTCCTCTCCCTGCCCCAACGAAAGTACTCAGCAATTGGTGAGTTTCAGTCTTCGTAGACAGGTTCCACGGGACTTCTCCCCACCCCCACATTGGTTTTGTTTGTTAGGTTTTTTTTGGGGGGGGGATTTTTCCACTGGATACACGAAGGAGAAAAGATTCGGGTGAAGTCTCTCTCAAAGACCCGCGCTCCTGGCCGGCCTGGCTACCTTGTCCTTCATCCCCAACTTTCACACCAGCCTGCATAGAAGGCTATGCATAGAAGGCTAGACACAAAAAGCCTGTTTGTCCCCCTCACAGCCCCGCGTCTCAATGCAACAGCAGCCTGGTTAGCACAGCCCAAGATGGCCTGTGGTCTCTAGCACGCTCTGTGGAAGGATTGTTCTGCTCCTTCCCAGACAAAACTGAAAGGGATGGGGGTCACCCCATGTGGAAGGCCCGTGGTTTATCTTACATCTAACAAAGTGCACTGGCAGATTTGACCAAACTGGAATGGAGAGACCTTGGGGGGTGGGGGGCGGTTTTTTTTTTTTTTTTTTTTAAGGAGACCCGCTGCAGGACCTGTCTGGCTTGGCTTCCAAGCCACTGACCAGCCGCTGGATGCTTTGCAGTTCGCTGGTAGCCGCCTCTTTCTCGGAGCAGAGTTTGGGTGACAAGGACACTGAGCCAGAGGACAGCGTGGACGAGCGGCTGTTCAGTTCCGACCCGGAGTCCACAGCCACCGAGGCTGGGCTGGCTGCCAGGGCCGCCGCTTTGCCGTCTAGTGGCCCCGCGGCGGAAGCCATGGATGGTAATGCCAGCAAGCTGCTGCTATCGGGCACCGGAACAGGGATGGAATACGGGCTGTAACGCAGCCTGGGGCGCATGCTGTTCAAATTGAGGAACGGGTGGCGGTGCACGGAGCTGGAGGCGGCGGCGGAGGAGGCCGCAGCAGCGGCAGCCATGTATGTGTATGGGTAAGGAAATAGGCTCCCGAAAGGCGACATGGCCAAGCCCTGGGGAAGAAAGAGAAGAAACATAGGGAGTCAGAGAGTGAGAACCCTTCCCCTCCACCTCCTGCTATCTGGGGGCAAACCACCTGTTTTGGAGGAGTTGAGGGACACTACTTTTCCCTAGGTTGCATGCTAAACTAAGGGGTTAACAGACTGCAGGGTTCGTGGCTATTAAATCTTCCACAGTATGTCATCCATGGTGCCTGACCCTCGGGGCTATTAACAAGTTCCCAGGAGGGCAGGGCGAGCAGCTGCACCTGTTGAGTGGCCTCAAAGAGGGCTTCCACCAAAGAGGCTAGAGTTAAACTCTGGTGCACACAGTATCAGAATATCGTCCATTCTCTCCTCTAGATCCCAAATAAGAAAAAAAAATAAGAATGATGTGAAATTAAGTGGGTAGGGGAGTAAAAAGGTGTTCATTAAGCTGGCAAGCGTCCAGTCTCGAAGGCTAGTAGTAGTTTCCAGGCGGGAAACTGAGGCACATCAGGGGGTGGGGCAGGAAGGCATACGGAAGCAGAATTTGAATGCAAGAACCAGGGTGTGTCCTCTACCTGGAGATGCCACTAGACTAGTCTGTTCTGGCTGTCTCTTCTCCACCTGTCACCAGCCTGTCTGCTGGGGGTGGGGCGGGGCAGTACAGTGAGGTAGGGTTGGTGGTAAGCTAGAGGCTAGCCCTTTTCTCAGCTCCGTCCTCCCCCCCTCACCCCCATGAGGAGGACCATGTGCCTTTTGGCTCAGGCGAGGGAGGCGAAAATGCTCAGACAAAACAAAAGGTCGGAGTAGGCCAGGGGGAAAAAAAAAACCAGAGAGGCTTCCCACTGGGTTCAGAGTCTTCTCCGGAGCCCTTTTCGTGCAGGCACAGCTGTTTGAGCCACACACACAGAGGCTTGCCAGCCCCTCCCGTCTTTGACATTTCCCACGTGTGTGCAACCCATTAACCCTTTGGAGATAGGCTGGGCCGTCTGGGAGTGGGGTGGAGGAGAAAGGCTTTGAACTAGGGGAGAAGACTTGCTCACGCCAGACCAAATTCTCACCCAGGGAATCAGTGACGTCCCCTCCCCACACCTCAGGCCTCTCCTGGGGGAGTAGTGGCTACCAGCCTCCAGAGAAACAAGTTGGCTGGAAGAAGAAACCAAAAGAGGTCCCAGAGAGTCAGACAAGGCTCCGATCCACACAAGGGACCAGCTGTGTGACCTGGGCCAAGAGATTCAACCTCTCTGGGCCAGAGATGATATAATCAAATGAGCCAAGCTTGTCAAGGAGCTGATGGTGGAGCTAAGCCATTCACAGTCTAATTTACAGGAAGCAATTTAAGAAGGACCTGGGGATGGGGTGGGGGTGTCAATAAATATCCTAATAGTTACTAGCGCGCGGATTACTAGCTAACACGCTTAGTCAAAGGGACTGGGACTAAGGCTGGCTTGAACCGGCGATGGGCGGGCAGGCAGGAGCAATACCTGGGAGGCCAGAACGTGCTGTTGGAGGTGGAAGGGCAGGGTGGCAGCCGACGCCCCGGACAGTCCCTGCGCTGCGGCAGCGGAGGCCATGGCTGTGGAATCCAGGCCTGAGACGCCGGTGGATGCCCCGGATACTGTGGCCAGCAGGGGCCCCATGCCTGCAGCCATGCTGGAGAAGGCGCCGCCCATAGCAAACTGGCTGGGGTGCAGGAAGAGAGGGTGCCCGTTGAAGAACTGCTGGCCGGCTAGGCCTGGGGCGAAACCCAAGCCCGGGAGAGGCCCCTGGGTCAGGTGCGCGGTGGCGTCTGTCTGCACCGACAGTGGAGCAAAGGCGTCCTTGGCAGGCATCGCGCGCGCCTCATCCACCTTGGTGGCGACTGGACCCTCGCGCCCGGGACTCCTGCGCTCATCCGCTCCCGGAACGCGCGTGCTAGACGAGATGGTGGCCGGGCTGTGGCGCGAGTCTGGCGATGCCTTGTCCAGACGCGCGGTGTCGCGGGCCCGGCTGGGTTCCGCTGGGAACAGCTGCGCCCTGGTGGTCGGGCTGCCCTTATCTCGGCCTGGCTCCTCGGCCGTGGTGGTGGAAATCTTGGCAGCGTCGCAGGCCTCCGGGCCGTGCTCCTCCTTGCTTTCAGCCTCGGCGTCACTCTCGGCTTCGCTGGGACACAGATCTTGGGGAGGAGAAGGAAAGGCCAGGGGAACCTAGGATCAATCTCGTTTCCTAGTTTAAACCCCATCTCCCAGCCGGTCGCGGCAGAGCAATGCTTGGCATGCCAACACTGGGGAGTCTGAGACAGGGGGACAGCCTGGACTACAGAATGAAAGTATCTCAGGAACAAGACTCCTCATTGGGCAGTTCATTGGCTGTGTAATCCCACCTGCACCACTCCCAGCCTTCATTTTCCCGGTCTGTAAAATGGGATGAAGATAATATAACACCTTTACACTTTCAGAAGAATCACAACTGTTCAACCCTTCTCTAGCCAGGCCCCCCCATTGGCAGCTTTTCTTATTGTAATGATTCTACTCTAAACCAAAACAAAACCAGAAAGACCAGCGGCGAGTGAGCCAAAACTTTCCTTGCATCTTTCTATTGGATTGCAAATTCGCTTTTTTAAAAGGATGTAAACCCGTGACCGCTGGAGTACATTCCGGTTACTTTCAAAGTCTTTGGCTCGAGGAGTGACAGAGGTCAGGAGCTTCCAACAAATTTGTGAATAATTTGGAAAGGATTTGTTTGGAATGAGGTCTGAATGGGCACAGGCAGAAACTAATGCCCTCCCCAGGAGCCTTCTACGTGTGCCTCGGTTCCTACAAAGATGACTGGTGGGATAATGAGATCTTTTTTTATTTTTTGCAGCCCTCTTCCACCACACCCTCCTCTGTGGGTGTCCTCCCAGACAGGGGGTAAGAAAAATTGAACCTTACATTATGTTAAAAGCTTAAATGGAGTGAAGACATAAAAAAAAAACCAACAACTTTCCCTTTTATTTCACTTAAAAAACAGGTTTCTTCCCGTTGAGAGCTGTCTTTCTAAATAAATGCCACTTGCTCTTTAAACAGAGTCAAACCACTTTTTTTATTCCTACCCCACCTCTCCAAAGCTTCACCTCCTCCCCCAGGGGCTGTGACTTTTCTTCTATCACCTTCCCTGGTACCAGGTGGCTGAGGACACAGGCCTCCTACAAACAGACCCTGCACAACACGTGCTCACCCAGAATTCAGCTGGATACTGGTGACTGGAAAGACAACAGAAGGGAGCAGAGATGGTTGGACGGACAGAAGGACAGAGAGGTGCTTCAGGTGATTTGTAAACCTGCCTTGCCAGGAGGACACACACCCCCCCCCACACACACATACACATACACACACACCCACACCCACACACAGCAGACAAACAGGATTGTGGGAGAGGGTGTTCCGAGGTCTCCTATGCTACCCCTACTTCAAATGACTCGTCTGCAAATTCTAGAAAGGCCTACAATCTAGTGAGCCTGCAGCTTCAGGCCCTTCCCTAACTCCTAAGGCCTCAGGGCCAAGAAGCCCTGGGGTCTGTCTGGTCATGGCCAAGGAGGCCAGGCTTACCTTTGAGGTTAGATGTCCCCACGGTGGACACAGCAGGAGAGGAGGCCTGAGCAAAGCAGTTGAAGGCTGCCTGCTCGCTGGAGGATTCATCAGAAGTCCCAGCCTCTTTCTTATGCCTCTCATCAAACACCCTCATGGACTGCAGGGTAAGCTGCTTTCTGTAACAAGGGAACCACACCCATCATTAGAGAACGCACCTCTGTGTCTCTGTTTTCTTCCCCCCACTTTCCTGAGTGGCACACACACCTCACCCCACCACCCAAAAGGTACCCTGTGACATGTTCTGACCCCAGGGTGGCCACAGAACACAGACCCCAGCATTGTTCTTGCCTATTTAACTGGGACGACTATGCATTAGGACAAAACTTGGCCTGGAACATTTGTTTAAAACCTCAAGACAGAGGTTAAAGTCGGCTGGGGACAGTCACATACTGGCCTTACAGCAGGAAGGGTGCTGTGGATACCTAGCCCATGAAACTCCCGCACTGGTGTTAAGATTCGAAGGAAACATTCAGTGCATGATGCATCCAACTGCAATCAGTCCACCAACACGTTAAGAGAAGCTTACGTTTGTTTTGATGTTAGAAATTATTTTTGTTTTCAAGATAGTGTTTCTCAGTGTTAGCTCAGTCTGGAGATCAACCAGGCTGGCCTTATAAACTCACAGAGATCCACCTACCTCTGCTGGGATTTAAAGCGTACGCTACCAGGCCTGGCTTAGAAATTAATTTTTACTACCCAGACCCAAGGGAATAAAGTTTAAAAGTTGGTACATAATTTTCTGCTTTGTAGGAAAAAAAAATCTTTGAAAAGGGTGCATGGGTGTTGTCTATATAGTGTCCAGCTGTTTACTTAAAGCAAAAACAAACAAACAAAAAAAAAAACAAAAAACAAAAAAACTGGTGCAGAGAGACCCATGAAGGAGAAGGGGGAGGTGTCCTGGATGCCTCAAGGGGCCTTAACTCCAGGCTGGTGTAATCTGGGACTTAAGGTTGGCAAAGACTCTTGAGGAATTTGTGAATAGCTTAGTCCCTTCTTGGGTCTTGCTCGGGAAGAATGCCAAACTAATGATTAATAGGAATCCCTATAATCTGTTACCTCCGAGACCCTTTTCTGGTCAGAACTGCAGTGTAGCCTCAGTTCCCTTGAAGGTAGCAAGAAGCATAGAGCATTCTCTACCTAGGACACTATGGAGCTGACACCTTCCCATTCCTCTCAACCCAAGTTACCTTGCACCTCCACTTCTTTATAAGACTTCCAAGTCTGAGCCCAGGAAAACAATTTCCCTCAATTATCCCCTAAACTAAAAGCCACTGCTTACCTTTTCTCTCTCCTGCCATTGCCGGTGTCCCGAAAACCCTTCGCAAAAGGATTGTTGTCTATTTTTAACTGAGTTATCTAGAGGAGAGACACACACACACACACATGCAAGACAGACGTTAGCTTCGCCTTCTAGAATGTTCTACATGTGCCCCCTCACCCCCAACTCCTCAGGTCTTCCCCTATAAATGCCAGTGCCCTTAGGGGCCCCAGGGAGGCTCTGTGTAAAAGGGAGGAGGAGGATAGTGGCAGGAATCAAGGAGGGAGGGGCTGAAGTTTCAAGAGAGATCGTAGCAACCTATACATGTCCTGGGAGCCAAGAAAGTTATCCGTACTGAAGTTATCCGTAGAAATACCTTCCCTTGGACAGTTTAGATTTAGAAATGAGCCTAGCTCCAAAACAGCCAAGAAGCATAGCCTGTAGATCCCAGTTAGTAAGCTTCTGGTTTTTTAAAATGCATCTTAATTATGTAAAGTGTGTTAAAAATGCCACTTCCTGCTGTTTCCCACCTCCCATCACACACATGTACACACACACACACACACAGACACACACACACACACACACTGACCCTATATACCAAAACCTTTTCTGTGAATCTAATTAATTATGGGGTTGCATTGCCTTGCACTAGAGTGACCACCAGCCTCCCCACCCCCACCCCCCCAAGAGGCAAGAACGGGGTTGAGAGAATTATCATACTGAAGATTTTACAGGTTTAAAAAAAGGAATGGCCACTGGTAATATTTGCTTCATTTATGTTAAGGTTCTTGTTTGCTTTTGCTTTTTGTTTTTATACCACCCCCACCGTTAGGTAGAAAGACCCTGGACTCTGATTTTTTTTTTTAAAGTCATTAAAGTAACAACCTAATTGATATAACATTCACAGGACTCCGGGTCTAGAGGAGCCTGCGTTTTGCAGATTGTTATCTTTAAAAAACCTCCTCTGTTGGTAGAAAAACCGTACATCCCATTACTAGGAGGTGGGAGCCTGTGCATTGGTTTTGGGTTCTGTTCTTTAATGGAGGCCAGACAGTAGGTTTTTGCAAGAGTCAAGCAGAAGAGCAGGTGATGACTTATCATTCAGCCTAGGAAAATGTTAAGGAACAGTGTCCAGGAGCCAGGGACAGTGGCTACAGAGTTCAAAGTACAAGGTGTTGCCAGGTAAAGTGGACTTTCCCTGAGGTCCAGGGCTCAAGTCAAGTTGACAGGGGTCTGGTCCTCAACCCCTCCCCACCTAGCCACAACTGCCAAGCTCCGTGCTAGTGAGTCACCAAGGAACACTCTTCTTTGGGGCCTCTGTGTTCAGTTTTCCTGACCTTCAGGCCAGGAGAACTGCAGATTCCAGGTGTGGCCTCATCTGGGAGCCCTTCTTAATCCTTAGCTCCAGGTGCGAGGGAAGAAAACTTTAAGATGATCTGGTAACTATTTGTCTACCTTAAAGTGGGAAGCCTCAGAGAGCTCAATTAACATAACCCTGTATCAGGGCGCCTGTACACACACACACACACACACACACACACACACACACCACTGCCGCCACACTAGCATAAAAAGTAATAAAAACAAATCATCCATTCAGGGTCTCTGGCTGTGAGAGGAGAGACCATCTCTACTCTTTGGGTCCAGATTCCAGATGCTTTTCACCTGAATCTGCTAGCTGGTTCCTTTCAGTACTTTTTTTTTTTTTTTTTTTTTGATTCTTCCTCCTGAAAAGGATGAACTAGGAAACACCAGGAAGACAAGCCCCAGGGGCCAGGCTGGGATTGGAACAACAATTTATAACACAACAAGCATCAGATTCCCAGCTCGGAGTTCTGTACCTCCCCTTTGAAAGGAATCAGGCCTCCTCTCTCCCCAGAACGTAGTCACCCAAGAAAATTCCAGACTCTCTGCCCAAGGCCCTGGTTAACTTTCTCAGCCCTGATATCCAGCAAGCTTAGAGGCGGCAGCTGAGAGGAAAAGCCTTGTGGGTTGGTTACCTTGTCATTCTGATAGGCAGTCACTGCAATGAATTCTGTTTCCGGGAACAGGTACGTTCGAAAAGTACTGTAGGGCAGTTTCAGAATATCGTTGGCTCTGACGATGTGGAACCGCGGCTGGTACTTATGCATAGAGTTGAGTATAGTCTGTAGAAGCAGGGAAGGGGACAAGCACATTAAAAAAGAAGGGAAAGACCTCACAGGACAAATGACACACATCCTCAATTCCCCTGCCAAAGCTGAGATCGTCCCCACTGCTGGGACCAGAGCCCATCTCCTTGGGTATGTTTCACTCCACAGATATTATCTTCTGGAGACTCCAAAATTGTTCCTCGGCCGAATTCGTACCCCCCCAAACCCCACCCTCACCATCTACATGTTCATTAGTACCTTGAACCCTAGCCTACCTGGGTCCCAAAACTATAATTCCCCTGCCACGGTGCGTGATCGCTTGGGAAGGCCAAAGTCTTAAAAGATAAAGAAAAACATGCATTTTAATTTACAAAATGATTCAGTAGTTTAAGCGCCCACTAATTGACAAGCCCAATCCACTTAAGGCCTTGAAAGGCTGAGCTCTAGAGAGGAATATTTATGCCCTAATCAAATCAAGGGTTTCAAATGCAATCCCTGTCCGCTTTAGATATTTCCGAGCCGTTCAAGTCTTCCTGGGCCTAATCTTTCTGCTTATTCTTCGCTTATCACTGTTTATTCTATTGAAATGTTGGGGAGGGGCAGTGAGGACAGGCAAACGTCCCCTGGCCTGACATACACAGGCAACCCAAGTCTTTCCCTAAGTCCCTAGGCACACTGGAATACTCCCCGGACTCCTCAGACAGCTCCCCAATACACACGCACCATTTAGATTCTGTTTAATGCCAGAGGTCTAAGCCTGTTCCCTATTCCGCCTGACTTTCACCCAGGCCCAAATCGCTTTTAGCAAAAGAAAATACGCTTTCAAAAATGTATTCAGAGCCTCGAAACAACGTGGTCAAGGCTTCGAACATTCAACTCTCCCAAGAAATGGCATGGCTGGTTTCAAAGAAATAAAATAATGAATGTTTCTAAGCAAAACAAGCCCTGTCCACGTACAAAAAACTTTACAAATCGATTCATAACTTTTTATTCTTAGTATTTACTCTACACCTTCAGGTCCGGCACCATCAGGACCTTTGATTGCTATTCCGGTAAATTCTTCCAGAATGTCAGGCTTTTCCATTATCCAGGGAGCAACATCCCCCCCACCCCCCCACCCCCGCAATCCACTCTGCAACAAGGTTGCAAATTTAACAAAGTTCGCTATGTGTAGCAACCAGTAGGCAGAGATGAGTCTGGGCCCAAATTCTGAGTTTAGCAGGAAGGCAGACCTCCCGGAGAGTCTTACTGATAGTCAATGAAACTTACAAATCCGTGTTTATCCGAGATGTTGTTGGTGAGTTTCAGTTTGTGGAAAGTGACGACTTTGGACATCCACTGCTCCCCCGTAGCGGGGCTGTCCGGGTGTATGTACATTCTCTTTGGCATTTCGGGGTCTGCCTTACCGGCCACCATCCACCGAGAATTGTGAAATTTATATCGACAGTCATCAGCAGCTATAATATCCATCAATAAAATATACTTGGCCTTTTTATCCAGCCCAGAGCACCTCACTTTAAATGGAGGGAACATTCGCCTATAAGGGCACAGAAAGGGGAAATACACAAAAAATAAGACTCAGGACCTCGGACTTGGCTTCCAAGTTGCTTGATACCTTCTAAAAGCTTAACGCTTTTTCCTGGGACCAGGGAGTCCCGTAAGGCAACTGCCAGAGAGAAATTGTTTACTTCCACGCTAACATTGAAACTGCTCGACATCTCATTTTTTTTTCTATCCCAAGCCTCAAATCAAATTAATTACAGCAACCTCTTCTAAGAGGATCTGCTATTTCTTTAAAAACCATGTTTGTCTATGTGGCTGTTAAGATTGTCCTCTTTATAGATCTTTATAAATGGATGGATTTTTGCTTAAGTGTTTTTTTTTTCTTCTTCTTCTTTCCTGAATGTATTCAGTTCGAAACAACTAGAGGCAGGGTTCTAAAGAACGGTGGTTGGTAAAGGTTCGGATTTTTCCACCGGCTGGCTGATGAGAAAACATTAAAACTTATCGAGGAAATAAATACCCACTTACGGAATGAGGCTGGCGAAGTGTGTGCCTGTTACAGTGAGTTCTCAGAGAGGAGGCTGGAGACAGGCTAGCGTCCGGGCCTGGTAACCCATCCGTGATTTAAGCTATAAACCACATTCCTGTACTCCGTAGGCCACTGCAAGACTCTGCTGTTTAACTTCACACAAGTGCTGGCTTTCTGTACTTTTGACTTAAAAGGAAGTGCCCGGTTATGAAAACCGACTAAATGTCTTGTGGCTTGGAAAATAACCCTATGCCAAACTTTGGCCTCAAGTAGTTTGGAAGGAGACTGAAAATGGGGTTTTATTTTTGTGCCCTTTCAACTGGTATCTTGATAAACCTCAATGTTACCTACTTATTTTTTTCTTTCTTTCTTAAATCTGTGGTTGTAAATGTTAGTCCTGGGGTCCTTAACAAGTTTGTTTCGGTCAGGCAAGGACACTAAATGTTACGTAAAGCATTAATTAATATAATATTCAAACACAAAGGCAGGGTGCATATTCCTCATAGGTTCTTTGGGTCTACACACATAACCTTAATTGTAAAAATTGCCTGTTCTGTTTTCCCTGGGCTTACAGACGGCAACGGGAAAGAAACCCAAATGTCTTTCCCTCTTCCACTGATTTTTCTGTCTCACACCCATCAGGCTTAGGCCCCTTCTGCCCCAGAGACAAAGCTGAAGAGTAGAAAGGACCTGAGGAATCCTCACAGGTCTCCCACTACAGTCTAAGAGGGGCTGTAAGGTCTGTCCTGGGAAATAAAATCGAACAGACAAAATTAAACAGAAATAATGACATTTCAGAACGGCTTTACAAACGGGCTTCCTGCAACAAGGTGCTTTTCTCAAATACTGCAGAAGCAAGGCCGCGTCTCCTTCAATGAAAAACACGCTGTATTCTGTAGGAAATCCCGAATACGGGTCCCTAAGAACCTTGCAGAGGCCCCGGGTAGGCTTTGACTTCCTGACCCTCAACGCAGGGCCCTGGAGTCTCCACATATTTGGGGGGACAGGAAGTTTTCGTTTCAAACGTTAACAGCCAGCCAGAATCTACTGTTTTAGGAGACAGACAAAAGAGATATGAAAAACTTCAGATGGCTTTGGGGGAGGGGTCCCCACTGATTACTTACCTTCCTGACTTCGTAATGACCATCTCTGTACCCCTCTTGTGAAACTGGTCCCAAAGTTCCTTGGCCTCCAGGTGCACCTTGGGGTCGTCTTCTACGTCTTCTTCGGGTTCCATGGTCTTCAGAGGCCTCAGATGTGCCTGGGGTCCCAGGGATGAGAAAGGGATGCCAGTCTCAGCAGCCCCCACTAACTGATCCATGATGGGTTTAGCCAGGGCACCGGGCAGCGAGAGCGCCGCGGCGCCGTTGGGAGGCAGCGTTAGCGCGGGGAAGAAAGGCGGCTGGTGGCCCAGCACCGCGCTCATGGCGAAGTCCGGCGCCCGGTGAGGTAGGAACGGATGATAGGCCATGCTTGTCCCAGGGATAACCGGATCTCTCATGGAGAGACTCATCCACTCCAGACAGGGAACCAGTCCGCAGCTGCTTGCTGGCTTGGCTTCGCTTTTGTTGTTGCTTTTCAAAAATAATAATTGAAAAAAAAATTCAACAGCGACACATAGTTGTGTTTAAAATAAAAAAGAGGGACAAATTACAAATAAAGCGTCTGAAGGGGAGGGGAAAGTGTCTTTAAGGGGAAGAGAATGCCGTTTTTAAAGAGGACAAGGCGACAGATCGGGAGACATAGCCGCTGCCGGGGGCTGTACTGCTGCGTGGAGTGTGTTGGAAAAGCCGCTCCTGCAAGTCGGTTTCAGTAGGGCAAGCAGCAAGCAGGGGCTCGACTGGCGCCCGAGCCCTGTGGCTTAGCTGGAAATAGACACAGCAGCCTTTTCCCGGGGTGGCTCCCCGGCTCCCACGCTCTTTGTTGCCAAAGCGCAAGGTTCTCGAGACTTTTTTTTTTAACCTTTTTTTCGACTCCTTCCCCCGCCCCCTAGCTCTTCTCTGGCTTTCTCGCAGGAGGCGTCTTAGTTGAGCTAGACTCTTGCTTTCACAGGCAGCGAGATCAAGAGGGGGAGGAAAAGTCTCTCCTTAAAAAAAAAAAAAAGCGATTTAAGCCCCTTTCCAGCGGCGTTTTCAAAACACGAACTGCGAAGCTGGCTTCGGTTCGCGATCCTCCTCTCTGGTTCCGGGCTGCGTGCAGTGTCTGGGTGGCGATCGAATGGTGCCTGCGATCTTCTGCCTCGGAGACTCGGCTGTCTTCCTTGTGCTAAAAAACCGTGAGCGAAATCGCTTTCCTAAAAATAATAAATTAAAAAAAAATCAGCGTCCGGGCACGCAGGGCGAGGGAGAATCAAGAAGACGGGTGCAAAAAAAAAAAAAATAGGAAAGAAGGAAGATAGAGGAGTGATTGGGAGCTGGAGTAGGCGAGTAGAGGGAGGGAGAGAGAGAGAGAGAGAAAGAGAGCGTGCGAGCACCTCGCCACCCTCCTCCGCCTCTAGAATTCCCCGGGCGTCTGCTCGGCGGCTCTGGACGGTCGAGCTGCGCTGTGGGCTGCGGGAGCCCGAGGCTTGTTGATTGGCTCTTTGACGCTTTCGGACCAATTGTGTGGCTGCATAGGCGTGGTTTTCACAGGTCGAGTGCTGGGGGAATAGAGCCGAGTTATAAAAAGAAGGTGTCGGAAACTGGAACGTCGCTGCGCCGCGCGGTACTACGGCCTGTCCTGCGTTTATGTCAACATGATCAGAGGGGAGGGCGGGGAGCCACCAGGGCGCCGCGCGCTCACCAAAGTCGCCTCTAGGTGGCTGATCCAGAGTTCGCAACAGCCTGAGAGCTCGCCCCGGCTCCTCAGCTCAGCCCACGTTTGAAAGGCCTCAGCCATCCAAGCCCCGAGATCCGGGGAGGAGGCTGGGCCAGGGAGGAAGGGGGAGGGAGCGAGGGCGGGAGCCAGGCAGCTTGCCCGGCTTCCGAGGCGCCGGGCAGGGGCGCTCGCCTCTCGCGCGCTCCGAGCGCTACAGCTCAAGGCTGCGGCTGCTTCTCTTGTGCAGATCTGAAAGCTTCTTCCCTTTCCCGGGCCCCGGGCTAGCCGAGCTGCCCGCCGAGCCTTCCTTTCGGCCAGTGAGCCTTAACAAAAGCTCCAGGCTCGCCCAGCTCTGGAGCCCCACGTGGAGCCGCCCAGCTACCTCTGAGTCAAGTCCTCTAACTCGTGCGCCCGGGTGCTTCGGATTCCCGAGCCACTAGCGCAAGGGAATCCCACAAATCTTTCTCCCCGGCTGCGTGCTCCCCACCCGCAGCCACGTGCAGAGACCCAAATGCCCCCTGGGTTTTTGTGCCCGAACGCGCGCCGACACATTGAAACCGAGCCCCACGCGGAAAAATACACGCAAATACGTACAAGGCCTGTGCGCCCGGCCCAGTCTACGCTCGCTCGGCCTTATGGACTCCCTTCCTTCCTTCCTTCCTTCCTTCCTTCCTTCCTTCCT